TTTTTTTTTTTTGAGACGGAGTCTAGTTCTGTTGTGCAGGCTGGAGTGCAGTGGCATGATCTCAGCTCACTGCAACCCCCACCTCCCAGGTTCAAGTAATTCTCCTCTTAATCTCCCCAGTATGGTAGCTGGATTACAGGTGCCTGCCACCACGCCCAGCTAATTTTTGTATTTTTAGTAAAGACAGGATTTCACTGTGTTGACCAGGCTGGTCTCGATCTCCTGAACACAAGTGATCCACCCACCTCGGCCTCCCAAAGTAACGGGATTATAAGTGTGAGCCACAGCGCCTGGCCTAAAATTGAGTTTTAATTAGCAAGTTGTTAGGTAGATTTTTATGATCACTTGTAAAAGTTGTTTGGTTTTTTTTGCCCCCTCAGCTTCCCTGGACACAGGCAAATGTTTTTGTCTTCAGAAGGGGAACTGAGCTGAGAGGCAAAGGACCATGATTTTGCAATGACTGGTAACCCAGCACATATAATGCATGTGGTACTGCCCCAATCTGCAATGTGCCTACCACAGTTCAGTTATTTCTTACAGTATAATCTCACATTATAATGGGTGGAGCAACAAAGTCCTGAGCTTCATCTCTGCAGGGTCTGTTGATGAGTTTGTTCTATCCAATTCGAATTAACAAATTACCTTGTTAAATTGTTAGCTTGTTAGTGGAAAAATTTGGTTCTAGCTTGACTGTACTAATGATTTTTAAGAAGTAGGTTTTGCTGTTCCGACTGAAAAGGGTCAGAGTCACCAGGGCTAGATTTTATCTGACAAAAGTGGAATACATAGCAGGTTCTCCAGGCTCTGACAGTTGCCCTGTGGCATGACAGTACCTGGGCAGCCAGGTCCCTTAAGTGGATCCTCAGAGGAGGAGGCATCACTGATATTTCAAGATAATATTCTTCTACCTAAGTTTGATGTGTGTAGAGTACAATATCAGAGTCTCAAAGTCCCCTGGGGATGCTACATTGGAACTCTATTTATAGGAATTTTCCCCCAAAATTTTCCAGATAGTTTAATCCTTAGAGACAATAACTCATCTTTTTTTCCCTCACAAGCAAAAAAACAAGCCAAAAATCCCTCACCAACCTGTTGAGTCTAAAAGTTGTTTTGAATACACAATATCATGTCCTACAGGCCAATATTCAAGATATAATTCACAAAGAACTGCATTCTAGTTGCCTGAAATTAATGTTCCCTGAGCAAAGACATTTTCATTATCTCTCTTCTTCTTATCCCTGGACATTAGCTATAGGTGGTTACTTGCAGATTTACTGCTGTAGAGCTCCAGAAGTTGAGGTTACATTTATCATATTTTGTGTACCCTAAGGCTAAGAGATTGGCCTATTGAGTTGGGTGGTCTCTTTGGTCCTAATTACTACTTCCAAACTATTTCTGTTCTTTTCTCCTTCAAAAATATTTGAAGTTCATATCTTCTGATTAAATCACCTTCTACTATCTTTACTGCCATCATCCAAGAGCCTACTGGCCACTTCCCAGAAATTATAGAGCTGCTTGCCCTAGGTTTTCCTCACTGTCCCTCTTGTCTGCATTCTGTCTGAATTCAACATCCTTGTAGGTGACCCATGCAACACCAACGCTTGACCTCTTAGACCTCTGACCTCTTCATCTCCAACAATTTGTTCCTCCGTTCAGTCTTAACCACTTATGCGTCAGTCAGACTCTGAACCTTGTCATCAGTTGAAATGTCAATTTCAAGCTTCCCAATTGTCAATCACTAGCCTTTTTTCCCAGCTAATTTTTTGTACTTTCACTTACCTAATTAAGACCTCCACTGTATTAACCCCCACACTTTAAAAAAGTCAACTCTTCTGCCTCTGCCATCATATAATCATTTTGCAACTCACCTGACTTAAATTCCCTCATCAGTCCTTGTCATAACAAATATTTTCTTTTTTCTCCCCATCAATGCATATTTGCAAAATACAAACATTTTCAAATCTCTAATCTCAGTGTCTCATTTTTTGCTTGAAAAAATATCAGCCTTGCTTGGACTAAACTGTGCTCCAGATGACCTTTCTCATTGCTTGCATCCAAACAGCAAAAGCTGCTGGAGAAAAGTCAGTCAGTCATATAACAGTCTAGCTGGTTTTAATTCATGAGCTCAGTCCTCTCAGGAGCACTCAACACTGGCTGGCAATGCTATTCCAGTCTCTGGATTAACCATTCATACGTTCACTTCTCAGATTTCTCACATCCTTTTTCCTCACCTCTCATTTTTAGCTGGTGACCTTGCCTCAACTTCAGAAAATAAAAACCATCTGTGGGGAATGCTTCAATGTCAGACTTTCAAATCTGCATTCATTTTCTCTTGCATTTTTCTTTTCAGAGGAAAGATGTGTCTTGTCAGAAGCAAATTCCACCACTCTGGCTCTCACCTTCCTTAAGGAGTTGACTCTTTTCGTCATCTCCTTTCTTATGCATCACTAGTCTCTATTGGACATTCTGACCAAAGTCAGAATATCAAGACTTCTAAAACCTCTCATTTCCTTGTGAAATTTTCTGAATCAAAAAAGTCTTTATTAATTTAGAGACAGGGTCTCACTCTGTCACCAAGGCTGCAGTGCAGTGACGGCTCACTGCAGCCTCAACCTCCCAGGCTCAAGAGATCCTTCTACCTCAGCTTCCCTAGTAGCTGGAACTACAGGTGAGCACAATGCTGGCTAATTTGGGTATATTTTGTAGAGATGGAGTTTTACGGTATTGTCCAGGGTGGTCTTGAATTCCTAGCTTTAAGCAATCCGCCCGCCTCAGCCTCCCCAAATGCTGGGATTACAGGCATGAGCCACCATGCTCAGCCTTTTGTGTTGCATTGATCAAATATTTTAAAAGCTATCTTTTATGTTTAAACAAGTATTAACATTTTAAAAAATCCTTAAAATACCACAGAATTGATGCCTACAAATCTTGAGAAATAGTGAAAAGATATTTTCTGTGTGAAGCTAAAACTTGAAAAAAAAATTGATGCATTTTAATTAATTTATTTATTTTAGAGACGGGGTTTCACCATGTTGCCCAGGTTGGTCTTGAACTCCTGAGCTTAGGCAATCCGCCCACCTTGGCCTCCCAAAGTGCTAGGATTACAGGCGTGAGCCACCAAGCCCGACCTCAACATTTTTTTTTTGTTTGAGATGGAGACTCACTTTGTTGCTCAGACCAGAGTGCAATGGTACGATCTTGGCTCACTGCAACCTCTGCCTCCCAGGTTCAAGTGATTTTCCTGCCTCAGCCTCCTGAGTAGCTGGGATTACAGGTGTGTGCCACTACACCCAGCTAATTTTTTAATATTTTAGTAGAGATGGGGTTTCACCATATTGGCCGGGCTGGTCTCGAACTCCTGACATCAGGTGTTCCGCCCGCCTCAACCTCCCAAAGTGCTGGTATTACAGGCTTGAGTTACCATGCCTGGCCAGGAACACTTTTATGGAAGTTTGTGAATATGTGTGTATTTTTTAAAAATATGCAAAGAAGCCGGGTGCAGCCTTGGGGCTGCTCTGCCTATGGAGTAGCCATTCTTTATTCCTTTATGCAATTAACTCGCTTTCACTTTGTGGATGCACCTTGAATTCTTTCTTGTGTGAGATTCAAGAACTCTCTCTTGCAGTCTGGATCAGGACCCTGGTAACACTGAGATTTGTTTTTCTTTCACAGGTCTTAAGCAACTAAAAGAATTTCAGAGGGGAAAGCTAGGCTATTAAACAGGTGAAATAAACGCTCAGAGCATTCTGTAATAGTGGAAAGTCCTCTTGGAAGAATAAATGAACAGACATTTCTTAGTGAAATAGAACAAATCCACAGAG